TGACCAGCTTTAAACGCAAGCCCACGGGCACCATACGCCGAGCTCGAGCCATCTTGCTAAGTCACCGATGCAAACGTTTTCGCGAAACGGCAGGTCTCGGGACTCAACCGGAAACCCTCTCGGTACAAGCGCGCTAGCTTGTCGCGTTTCCCACGTGCCGCTCGCCATTAGTGCCCGTGTCCGGATGATAAAAGCACCTCGGGGCTGCGGGAGCGCTCGGGGCTCCCGCCCGTGCCTGGGCCCACGCAGAACAAAGAGACAAGCCCTGCCCCGAGGAGTTACAGCCAAGCGCGCTGGGCTCACGGCTGGCACCCGGTGGCGAAACGCGCAGCTCATCAGACTTGCTAAACAGCTGCGTAAAACAGAAAGGTTTCATCAGGACACAAGAGGGAACGACACCGCAAAGCGCGTTGAGGTCGACTGCTGAGACGCGTTCGACACGAGAGCTGGGGGGTTAAAAAGAAAACTGGTCCTTGCTATTGGGAGAGGCTGCAAGCAAGACAGAAGACCCTTGTGCTGTGCAGACACAGCCCCGGTGCCAAAGACCATATGATCTCGCAGAGCAAGGCGAGACCTGGAGCAGAGGGAAGTGACCGTCCAAGGTCGCGGGTAGCGCAGAGTGGCACTCCAGTCTTCTGTGCCCAAACCTGGCCCTTGTCCCTTGACCATGAGAAACAGCCAGCTTCTGGCTTTTTAGGGCTCCAGCTGTGCGGACGAGGCAGCAGGCAGGCCCCTGCGAACACCAGACATGCAGCGGGATCCTAAGGCTACTCGGAGCCATTTCTAACCTGCCCGACTTTGCCAGGGCTGCGTGCACGGCCCAGCACGTCGTGCTCCGCAGCTCGGCTCAAGCTCATCTTTTTCCCGTTTTATTTTTTCCTTTCAAAAGGAAGCACCAGACCAAACCCAAGGGAAGAAGCCTTTGGCTCCCCACCATTACATTTTCTGCTCAGGAACGAGGCCAAGCACAGAGTGAATCACATCCTGCTACTGATTTTTGACCCTAGTAAGAGCCCGGGAGCCAGCTCTGAGTGGGGAGCCGGCCCGTATCGTCAGTGAGGCCACAACCCTGCACGAGAGGGCAAGTACTGGCTTTGTGGGGTATTAATATGTGGCTTTAGGCAGAGAAGACAGGACGCTGCTCTACAGACAGCTCCACGAAAGGCTCTGGAAAGTCAGGATGTCAAAGCGGTGCGAGCCCCGCGCCAGGGCAGGACGAGCCCGTCACGCTGCACCTTGGGCACAGGGCCCCGGTCCGCGTCTCATCTTCCACTGGGGTGGCAGGGCACCGGGGCCAACCATCAGGCAAGGGCTCTGGGCCGGGGATCCGGCATGGGCGGAGAGGAGCAAAGCACCTGAATATCCATCGCCGTGCCCCGCACACGGACCTGGCGCCTACCCCAGGGCTCTGGCTTCCCAAGTCCGAGCCTTTGACCGGCTCTGGCCCCAAAGGCCGAGCACCTGCAGCTGCAGGCTTGGCACTGGCCAGGCTCGCGTCACTGCCCGGAAGAAAGGGGCCAAGTCCTCCGGCTCCGCCGACTTCAGCAGAGCCGTGCCGATTCCCACCAGCCCGGCGCCGCCTCGCCCGGGACGTCGGAGCCGAGCTGGGTGGGCACGGATGCACGGCCTAACGTGCAGCTTACCCAGAAGCACAGGCACAGATCCAGATTCCCCGGTGCTGGCTCCTACCGGTGTGACCTGTGCAACTCGGGCCCCCCGGCTCTTCCATGGACGGGGCGGTTGCAGGAGCCGAGCCGTGGGGCGGCAAGGCGCAGGAAGGGTTGCACACAATGAAGCAATCAAGGGCAGCGCCGGAGGAACGCTAACGGCCCGTCAGCCCTCTCCCCACTCCAGTAATTTAATTGCGCCGTTCTCCTCCTCCCGAGCTAATGAACAAAGACGTATCGGGAGCCGCGCGGAGGGCAAAGCAAATTCCAAAATTTCAAGGCGGCCCGGAGAACGGGCCTGAGGAATGTGATCATGTTACACACGCAGGCGCGCGCGCATAGCGCACGCTCGCGAGCAGCACGGTGCCCTCCGGCTAAGATCCCAGGATAAGTGCAAGCCTTTACCAGCATCCCCGGCCGTCCCCGTAGACCCATTGTTGTCCGTGCGTGTACGTTCTCACCACCCCCTCCCCCTTCCCTCATTCACAAAGGCCTCTGGGGATGGCTAAAGTGGGGGCTGGGAGGGGACCTCGCACACCATTCACTCCCCTCTCAGCCTTTAAGCCACTTTGTGGCCACAGCACAATTAGATTACTTAATGCTTTAATTGACTTATATGGCATTTGTGCTTCCACTCTGGATATCAAACTTACACAAGAGGATTTAAATGGGAGCTTTGCGTGGCTTTATCCAACATCCTCCCTGCATTTACTTGCCATTATTAAAGCGCCACCAATAGGTAAACGCTCAGACGGAGACGGCAGAGACAGCCTGAGGGAACAGGGCCCTTTTTTTTTTTTTTTTTTTTTTAATGAGCACAAAGGCGAGAGCTTCCCAATAAACCTCCATTCGCGCAGCCGATTTTCTGCGAGCACAAAACTGGGCCCGGCTGCGGGGGGGGGGGGGGGGGGCCGGCAGGAGCAAAAGGCAGCAGGAAGCTATTAAAAAGGAAAAGAGACTTTCGGGAGGAAGCGCAGGGCCTCGAGGAACAAGGAGGGAAGGTTTTCAAGACGAGACCCGCGGACGAGGCGCGGGAGCGCTGCTGGATCCCGGTCGCATCCCGCGCAGGGTGGGTCTCGGCGAACGGGCCCCGCGCAGCAGAGGCGTCCTCGAGCGGCCGCCTCGATGTCGCTGCGGTTGTTGTTCATTTAGTAATTTCCCACGAGAGCGGCGAGGAGCCAGAGCCCCGGCGTGCACGCAACCGAGACGGGCTCTGCCCCAAAGAGCTTCCAGCTGTGCAGGAAGAGGTGCCGAGCGCGCCCAGGAGGTGCCCCGCGCCGCACGCTGCGCTCTGCCGTGCTGACCGCCAAATAGGTTAGCAAGCTCCAGGAGACAAAGACATGCCCAGCTCCATATAGCTCCCCGGTTTTGCCCGGCTGTTTCCTATATGGAGCTGCGAACGTGGGCGCAGAACGGCAGAGCCTGCACGTGTGTTAGAGCAGGCCGGCCTCCCGGGGAACATTTCTGCCTGGCATCCACCCGGCACCGTCCCGCCAGCTCTCGCGCCCGCGGAGAAATCACTGCTCCCTCGCCAGCCAGGCCTCTCTCGCCCAGCTGGCAGATGCAGGTTGGGCAGCTTCATGGGAATGAGGACGAGCTGCCCCCTCCTGAGAGAAGTGACCGCCCGCTGCTGGGCTGATGCTCAGGAAAACCCAGCAGAGAGGACACTGCTGCGGTAAGGACAGCGGGTTCTTCGAGGGAGCGCGAGTTGCTTGCGCCCCTTGAATCAAGCGATGCCGAAGCCCCAATACACTCTTTTTTAATTTAAATTTTCCATATTCCAACCCAAATGAGCCAAAACACTCCAAATCCGTG